GGAATCTGATTATCTCAAAATCGCACAAAACTCGGTTAACACACCATATGTTCATATCAGAGGTTTCCTATGAGACGCAGCAACACTCACTTGACCGTGACCGCGCATGACCCAAGTCAAATTTGTAACGCGCGTTAGACTTAACCCTCGCAAAGTCTGCCACACTCACCAAAGAGCCCGTGTCTCTCAGCTCACCGTGAACACGCGCGGGTCCTTACCTTGCCCGTGATCTGCTGTGTTGCTGACGCTCGGATCTGCCGTCGCGGAGGTACCACCGGCGAGCTAAGCGCGCGCCTTGCGTCTGACCCGCGTGCCCCCGGCCGGGTGGCTCGAGCGCGTGGTGCGGCAGTGGCGGCGGACAAACTGCGCTGCAGTCGCGTCGCTCGGCTCGATAGGTGCGGGTTACTCGAATAATCGCTCACTTAAGTTGAAGCACCCGTATTCAAAAAGATTCGTTCTGCCGGAAACATATTTATTTTGAATAACATATTAAGCTCTTCCACTAGAACTGTTATTTAGCGTGCACCAAATGACCTTTAGCGGCAACTTTGATAGGAGGCGAGTATTGGAAGCGGCTTCGGCAAGCAGTCGTTACAATTGAAACTGTTATTTCCATCTTTTTCCGTGGAGCATCGCGATATCAATACCTTGCGAAGTGCACGTCCATCTGTCTGTTTATCGTGCACAAATGTGAATGCGGCTTGCCGACGATGCCAGCTGGCCACGTGAAATTCGACGAGCGGTTAGAACAGCAAATTTGGATCACGGCAATACATTTATGACCGGAGCCGACCGGTGGAGCGGCGTCAGTGCATACAAAGGCTAAACTGGAGGTGCTTAGGTCTTAAGAAGGGCAGGATTTTGAAAAGCACCGAAGGGTCTTCAAAATGGCTATTTCATTTAAAACCCCATATAAATGTGGAACACTTTCTTCAACAACAATAAGCCTAGGCGGCGTGTAGTTTCCTACTCACTTGGCGAGGGGTGACTGTACCTCTTAACCAGGGATGTAGTTTCCTATGCTTAATTATCATTTTATCGATCATTTTTCATTTAACTTAACTGTTTACGGCGGCCGCACATGGTACTCCCCCTCTGGATTCGCCCATGGAATAGGGTATTGATGAATAACAATTCAGACCTAAACATGAAGGTCCAAGCTGAAAGTAGAATAGTTCAATATCGCCCAGTTCAATAATGCGTAGGTACGTACCTGGACAGTTCGACAATCATTGCAAATCGTCACATGGGTGTGAACCTAACTGCTCATGCGCCGCCAAGGTCATCCACTCGACCCTGTCCCTGAAATTCTGCGACAGATCATTGACCTGTCACAGCTTCAGGCTCCAGCACACCATGCTAAAATGCGTCCCAGCTTATGTTCATCCCGGCCGTTTGTCGGGTTACACTGCCGTACGCTCCGAAACGGTGCCTTCCGAGCACACGCTGTGAGGATCTATTCTTCTTCGTTTACCTATCGCAGACCGGGGTGAGCCCTCACAAATCACCAGTCAATATGACCCATGGACGCGGCAGTGGGCTACACCGCATCCGCCTTCGTGACGCGCAGCAGACCGGACCTGTATGCGGTCCACGCGCCCGGTCACGTGCTCGGTACCGGAGGGCGCTGGAGGCTGCCGTTCGTGCCGCCCAGCTCGGCCGGATCGAGGGGAGCGACATATGTATCAGTACCTACCGTAGGTCTGAGGGGCCGGCAGTGTGTTCCGCTCGGTATGCGGTGTGCTCGTGCGCAGAACTGTCAGCAAGACCCCAACAAGACACATCAAAGCTCGTTTCTGCTGCATTTGTCTTGCATTTGGCTTGTCTGGTGCACGTATCCTCAGAGCTCGAACGCCGATTCAGTTCGGCGCTGGAATGCGAATCGAAGCTACTTGCTTCACCTTGGAATGATGTATTCACACTCCACAATCATCGTTCAAATATCAACGGTGGAAGACATGCTGTGCCTGTGACCACGGCAGGTTGTACGGTAAGGCATCACGCTTATTTCACAAGCCGTCGCTCGAACACTAGCTTTCCTGTGCATAACTGCAAACATTCGATTAAAAAAGCAGGTAAACCGAATCCAAAACCGCGCCTTCCTCTGCAAATGACTACTGGCGTTTGGGTGACGTTGTCAGAGCTCTCAGAAAAACCCGCGTGTGCAAAATCAAGCACGAACACACCTATCGCTGCCTCTCGGCCAGAGTGGTCGGGCGTGGCGCGAATCTCCCGTGGTCATCACTGCGCCACACGGCGCTGGAGAACCGACCATGGCCGGAGATCAGCAGCATCAGCAGCCGGCCATGACCGGAGATCAGCGTTCGGCCATAGCAGCAGATCAGCGGCCGGCCATGGCCGCAGATCAGCGGCCGGCCATAGCAACAGATCAGCGGCCGGCCATAGCAGCGGATCAGCGGCCGGCCATAGCAGCGGATCAACAGCCGGGCATGGCCGCAGATCAGCGGCCGGCCATAGCAGCGGATCAGCAGCCGGCCATGGCCACGGATCAGCGGCCGGCCATGGCCGCGGATCAGCGGCCGGCCATAGCAGCAGATCAGCGGCCGGCCATAGCAGCGGATCAGCGGCAGGGCAGCAGCCGCGGCGCCGTCTCCTGACCTCGCACCGCCGAGGCCGCGGCGCCCGCCACTGTCCGGCCAGACAGTGGCGGGGAAGCCGTGCCGCCCCTCGGGCCGGAATCGCGCCATCGGTGTCGGGGTTCAGCTCGGGGCAGTGCGCGGCGAGAGCCACGCGCTGATGTTCTAGCCTGACCTGACACGCCCGCTTGACACCGCTCAAGGCAGAGAACACTACGACAGGAGACCGCACATCACTGCCGACCTTCTCCAGCCCAGTACACACTCAACCCGGTGTAAATAGCATAAGTGCTTGCTAGTCTACCACACATACTGCCGTCAGCGCACACTGGCGGAAAACAGCGGACGCCAGTGACCTGGACGCGGGGCAGCGAGCGATTCGATATCTTTGGTGTGCTGTACGCAGGTGTGAGCGTCTTGCCAGCGGCCGCGTCTGGTCCCCTCTTACAGTATGAGATCGGGGCACCGTGCCACCACCAGCTAGAGCCAGCCCTATCCCGATCCGTGTGGACTGGACTGATTCAGATCCGTGTGGACCGGACCTATTCAGATCCGTGTGGACCGGACCTCTTCAGATCCGTGTGGACAGGACTGATCCAGATCCGTGTGGATCGGACTGATCCAGATCCGTGTGGACCGGACTGATCCAGATCCGTGTGGACCGGACCTATCCAGATCCGTGTGGATCGGACTGGCCCGCGGTCCGACCGCGGCCGGAGCACTGCTGACTAGCGCTGTCGCCTAGTCTGATCTTGCGAGGGCTGCGCGGGTGCCAGCTGCGCATTCGGCTGCGCAGGCGCTGTCTCAGACGCCGACTGCGCCGACACTGACTGCGCAGACACCCACTGCGCAGACGGCTGATCTCCCCCAGTCAGGCTGGCGCCGCCACACTGCTGTACGAAGAACGAGCACCTGAAACGAGGGGACTCCAGTTATCCAAAAGTGAAGCTTGCGTTTCTTAACTCCACTCACGAGTCAAAGATCTCGGTTTTTAAGTTTTACAGCATCACAACTTGCGGCATCAACAATACGTCGGTTGGATGCAGTGCGCCCTGCGGCTTATAATGTAAATGGTGTTCATCTTTCAACTCTGAACTTTGCCAGCATCGGGGAGATGGCCCATGACGCCAGCCAGCAACTTGGCGTATCTTCCATTTTTGGAGCATGTTCCTTCCTTTCTTAATACTTTTTAAGCCGGCCATTCCTGTGAGCAGCCAGCTGGCCATCTCCTGCGCTTGGCGCCGTGGGTGATGCGCGGAAAGACAGTTCACACTGCGGATACATTTGGATGTGTTCATGCCATGAAGGGCGAAATTCGTCATCACCGATACCGAGGTCATCGCACGAGGCGTGACCCGGCTAAGAGCGCCGCCATCGCCCTCGCCACACACAACGAGCAGTGACGAAACCGAGGCCCGTCTGTCCTGCAAACGACCCCCGGCACCGCACGCCACCATCGTGTATATCTGTGTATTATATATATATATATATATATATATATATATATATATATATATATATATATACCGAGGGCACATATATATATATATATATATATATTATATATATATATATATGTGCGTGTGTGTGTGTGTGTGTGTGTGTGTGTGTGTGTGTGTGTGTGTGTGTTATGTGCGTTCTGTGGGTGTCAGCAGGTAAGCGTGCAGGCCAGAGACGGTTGCGCCTTCCTCGGAAGACCACTCACGGGTGTCACTTGCTCAGCAGGCCGCCGGGGGAGCTGTAGCTGTAGCCGTAGGCGGCGTGCTGCGGGTACGCGTAGTGGGAGCCGTAGTCGGCCATGGAGACGGGCCCTGCAGACAGACCAGGGCGCACCCGGTCAGCCGTTGGACGGCAAGATCAGGTCAGATTAAGGTCAAGGTCAGCCGGTCCCGACCCAAGCGACCACCACGATTTGGCTGCGTCGCCCTGCTGGCGGCACTGAATGACGTCAGAACTATGCACTTTCGCGCCAACCGGACGGCAGCCGCCGTGTTCTGCGGTGCATGCTAGAATATCAGCCGGAAATTTATCCTGATAGCCTGTGACGCGCTGGTCAAGGTGGGCCAGTGACTTTCCACTATCAGTAACGGCGAGACAGCGCTCGTTGCACATAATGGTCCACTGGAAGGGCTCATTAAGGTGACCTAACACCGACGACCAACCGCCACACGCCAGATTTGTACAGTTTCTGGGACTAATATTGGGGCACGACGCACACGTAACGTATGCCCTTCAGCTAACGGCTTCATCCATGCAGCATCACAGTCATACCGCGTCACGCATGCTCCATTCCATGCAAGACAGTGTCCAAAAGACCCTGGTGCTGACTTAAGAAGCGGAGCCTCGCGTTCGCCCTGCTGCGCCACTCACCGTCCCGCTCCGTGTCCCCGTCGACTGATGACGTCATCCTGACGTCACGCGGCGCGGGGTCAGCGCGCGGTGCGAGCACGGGTCGGGAGAAGGTGAGCACAGGAAGGGCTCCGTCGCCGGGCAGAGGACCAGGGGAGAGGGAGGCGCCGGGAGAGCGGCATGACAGCGGCGCCACCAGCCGCAGCACTCCCGTGACGTCACTGGCTTTCGCACCAATGACGTCATCGGTCGGCGCGGCGCGCGGGCTGCATAAGGGATGGGAGGCTGAACACAAGGAGGTCGCCCAGCGAGGGGTGCTGTCGGGGCTCGCCGGCAGACGACTGTCATCTGGCTGGGCAGTGCCCATTGACTGAAGGGTGCACACTGGGTGCTGGATCCCAGCTGGCGAATGGCTGTTTGGTGGGAAGCGGTCAACGGACGCAGGAGGCGTGAGCGTCAGGAACGAGGCACTGACATCCAGTGGAGGGGACGGCGAGAGTCGGACGTACCCACAGGTACTGCCATCTGTAGGGAGTGCAGAGAAACAGTGCTTTCAGTGCTTGTCGATGAGGAAATGCTTGGACAAGCACCTTATGAATCTAAACAGCTTGTCGAATGCTCAGAACCGTGGTTCATTAAAATGATGGCACGTGCAACTGACGCTGCGCTCACAAAGATGTAAATAATCCAAAGGAGGTCATGATTGCAAAAGCAATTTTTCCCGACAAACAACTCGGTTAACGGTATTAATTGCTTTGAACAGCTAGGTATGCATTGTCATGGTTGCAGGAACAGGGGAGGGGGTGGATGCCAAGGCACCAAGCCTTCGGAGACGCTCATTTGCCAATGCGAACCGTAAATTAATTTCGAATGAAACAATGACTTCTGCCGTTGCATAATCACCCTGCATTGTGCTAAGCGAATTAAATTTGTCGTTTGCTATTGCACGTGACTTCTGAAACTGGTTTTTGCTCGTCTTGACATTAGCAGATGTATGCATAGGTCTTGTGCCGTTTGGTTCTTGAACTATTTTAATCCACATCTTTTGATCGAATAGATTCTTGGGACCCGCCCTCACACTTCTTGTGTGAGCCCTGGCCCTGCCACACATATGCTCTATCGACCACGCTTTATTCATTCATCTATCGAATTAAGGAGATATGTCTTGCACAGAGCGTACCTATTTTTCAGAACGAGCAGAGAATTGTGGTGCCTACGAGGAGGTTTTCAATCCCCCGAAAGATTTTGCCGTTCTTGCGCTTTGTCTTTGGCGGTAGCGCTATAAGCTAAAATGACTGAAATATGCCAATGCTGCAACCTACAACGTCAAGACAACATTCCTGGTAAAATGGGGGGCACTAAACGGATCAGGGCAACATGCCGAAGATTCTTCCGCACTTAATCCCAAATATGTTTCTTTGGCTGCCCCAATCATGTTCAGCCTTCCTCTCGGCACGCGTCCTTAAGCTGGTGCAGTGTGCCATGCGGTGCTTTTCCCCGCCAGTCATGCTCAGTGCAGAACACAGACCCATCTAGCGGCAACCTACCCTGCTGGTAGTTTTCCAGGCCGTCCGGTAGAGGCGCTGCTGAGCCTAATGTCGGTTTGGTGTCGGCGAGCGAGATCGGCGCCAGAGGAGTGAGGCCAGCAGGCGTACCTGGGCAGAGAGCATCATCAGCGTATGAGAACAGGTTTGAGAGCACACGCAGAGTGAGCTTACCAAACCCCGTAGCAAAAAACACACGCACAAAGGGAGTTAAACAAAACCCCTAGGCAAGAGCACACGCAGAGTGAGCTTAACAAGCCCCGGAGCAAAAAACACACGCACAAAGGGAGTTAAACAAAACCCCCTAGGCAAGAGCACACGCAGAGAGAGCTTGACAAGCCCCGGAGCAAAAAACACACACACAAAGGGAGCTGAACTAAACCCCCTAGGCAAGAGCACACGCAGAGTGAGCTTAACAAGCCCCGGAGCAAAAAACACACACACAAAGGGAGCTAAACAAAATCCTCTAGGCAAGAGCACACGCACAGAGTGGACTAAACAAATCCTCAGAGCAAGAGAACACTCAGAGTGAATTAAACAAACCCTCCAAGCGGTAGCCCGCGCACAGAGTGAACCAGACAAGCCCTCAGAGCAAGAGCACACGCGTAGAGTGAGCTAAACAAGCCTTCGTAGCAAGAGCACAGGCACAGAGTGAGCTGAGCACACCCCCGGAGCAAGAGCACACGCACAGGGTGAACCAAACAAGCCCTCGGGGCATTGTGAGATCCAATCCGAAAATGAAGCATGTATTGTGAACGCCCTTTGGCATCTTTCAAAATTTACGAAAGCATAGCAGCCCTGCGGCGACAAGGCTACCAGTACGGAGACCAAGCCATTTTAGTGACCCTGCGGCGGCTGACACTGACCTAGCGCGGAGGTCAGGCCCTGGGGGTAGCCCTGCGGCGGCTGGTGCAGGCCGAGGTCATACGGCGCCTCCAGGGGCGAGGGCAACCCTGGCGCGGCCCCGAAAGTCGGCTGCTCGCCGCCGAAGCTGAAGCCGATGCCGGACCCGGCGATGTCGGACAGCGAGCCTGTCTTGGCGGCCTCGTCCTTCACCCACGGCTTCGGCCATGGCAGCTGCAGGGACTGCAGAGCAGCGTAAGACTCAGAGAGGTGAGCGAGGCTACCTTAGCTACTGACAGAGGAGGGCGAGGCTACCGCCAGCACCACCACCAACTGCATCACGAACGTCTGGGAAGAAATGACACTGGATAACGAAAGTAAATTCGGGATATCGTCCTCGTTGGTCACGTGGTATGTTTGTACCCATACGTGCTACTATGAACACTGTATGCGTACCAGCATACCAAACGAAGACGCTGTTCTGAACGATCACTCCATCCGCAATCTGAATGTCAAATATCAGTCATTCGTTACAACTGCAAGATGAATGCCATCGGCTACCCAATTGTCGTGGCCTGTATTGCTCGTCGCATTGCTGGTCGCAACACAGCTCGCAACGTACGAGATAATGATGTGTGTGGGGGGGGGGGGGGGGGGCGGAAAAAGCGCCATGAAGAGGATGGAGCAATCAACATCAGCTGGCCGCATGAGGACCCGCAGCTCATTTTTATGTTTGTCCTCAATCCAACGCGAACACACGGCGCATTGAACGGCGTCCGCACACATGTGCTTGTAACCTCATGAGAGACGTAACATCCATGACTTTTCTCTCGTAATCATCGCCGGCTAAACATTTGGCGGCGGGGAGGACAGGCGCTGGGCCAGGAAGAGGAAGCGCAGCACGTCAGCTGACAACCGACCCATCAGCAACAGGCTGTCCGGTGTTCCCCGGTGGCCGGCCGGTCACTCTGGTTCACCGAGTCGGCTCGGCGTCGGACCCGGCCCTTCCGGACCGGTCCGGTCCGGTCCGGTCCGGTCCGGTCCGGTCCGATCCTGCTCCGGTCCGGTCCGGTCCGGTCCGGTCCGGTGCGGTCCGGTGCGGTCCGGTCCGGTTTGGTTCGGTTCGGTTCTGTTCGGTCCGGTTCGGTTGGGTTGGGTTGGGTTCGGTTGGGTTGGGTTGGGTTGGGTTCGGTTGGGTTCGGTTCGGTTCGGCGTCGGGTCCGGTCCGGTCGGGTCCGCTGCAGTGAGGTGCGGTGCGGTTCGGTCACTTACGCCTGAGTAGTTGAGCTGGTCGGCCGGGTACTGTAGCCGCTGGCGGCGCATCTCCTCCTCGGCCGGCGACGCCAGGTCACGAACGTCTGCAGCACCGGCAAGGTCAGGTCAGGCCACTAACACTTTAGGTTAGCCATAACACCGGCAGGGTCAAGTCAGGTTGCAAACACCTGAGGCTAACCGTGGCACCGGCAAGGTCAGGGTAGGTCGCAAACGTCTGCAGCACTGGCAAGGTCAGATCAGGTCACAAACGTCGGCAGCACCGGCAGGGTCGTGTCAGATCACGAGCGTCTGTAGCACCGGCAGGGTCAGGTCTGGTCACAAACGTCTGCAGTGTTAGCAAGGTCAGATCAGGTCACAAACGTCTGCAGCACCGGCAGGGTCAGGTCAGGTCACAAAAATCTGCAGCACCGGCAAGGTCAGGTCGGGTCACAAACGTCTGCAGCATTGGCAAGGTTAGGTCGGGTCAAAAACGTCTGCAGCACTGTCAGGGGCAGGTCAGGTCACAAACGTCTGAGGCTAACCCTGACACGTTAGTTCAGAGCGAACTACAGTGACAGGTTACACCAGCATAGACCAGAGGCCACCGGCCCAGAACAGCACAGGTCAGCTCAGGCCTCGATACATCGGTAAGCTGGAGCAGATCAAAGTTGCATCAACTGCTGAGAGCTTAAGCTTACATTGTGGCAAATTTCACTGTGGGTTTTTGCACAGTCAAAAAGCAGTGTTAGGTAATTATTCCACCAAAAAGTTCTTCTAGCGGTACGTTCTACAACAAAATCGGCCACGCATGGTGATGCCAGACATTGACGGAAGAATCAGAAATAAAGCGGATGCCTTCGCAGCACTTACCCTGGCGCGATTGATAGTAGTCATCGAGCATTCGCCTCTGCTCTTCGTCTGCGGGCGCATGACATTGATCATGATTGATTGCGTGAGATCGTGGGTGATCACTTCCGCTTATGCGCCAATCCACTAATCATATTATGTACTGCTTTATGTCCATAATCGAAAATAAGCATCAAACATCAAACAAGCATCACGCTTGCGTGATAGTGATATACGTGATATATCACCATTCAAGCACTACACGGGTCAGCTGGTAAGACTACATGAACACACTGCGGTGCCTCGGCACCAACCAGTTCATTTCACTGGCCTCGTGTTGATCTATCACATAATCCAAGCTACAAGCATATTGTCAACAGCCAACGTGCCATTTCCTTTCGCTCTGTGCGGTTTGGTGTCTGCCAGACCTCCCCACCCCTCGTCTTTCCGCCACCTGGACATCCCCCGGCTCCGCCCAACAGACCTCACGACGTCCCGTTTGTCCAGGAAAGCTTTATGCATAAGCCATGAGTGGCCCCACGTGCGCCCCCCGGTGGGGGCCACGTCCGAGGGCCGAGCGCGTGTCCCGTACAGCGGCCTCTGTGTGGGCTAAGTCACGGCGGGGACCCCTACACGTGTGTAGCTTTGCCCCACAATTGTTCACTCTCCTTCCCTACATAGCCCTGAGGTAGCACTGGCATAGCACTGGCCGAAAGGGTTATAATCCGCACCAAACCCAACTCAACGTCGCCTCCAAGTGTTGTCGCTCAGAAGGCTGTTCACATGCAGTTACCACACACCAAATATGTGATCCGCCCCCCCCCCCGCCCCTCCTCATGGGAGTACCCGGTGACCACTCCCCTACCACCCGCCCACTGCGCGACCGGCGCCCCGCCACTCCCCGCCGAGCGCGCCGCCGGCCCGGCGCGTCCCTCACCGTCGTCCCGCTTCCGCTTGCCGATGCTGTTGCCGTTGGGGTCGTGTCCTGCCAGACCGAGGATGCCGCTGATGCTGTAGCTGGGCCGCGGATCGCGGGAGTCGGCCGGCGGCGCGTGCGTGATGACCGGGGTGGCCTGGCCGGCCGGCGAGCCGCCCCCGTCGCCCATCGGGCCGTGGCAGCCCCGTACCTTGTCCGCCGCCTTGTTGCGCACGATCCTGCCGGCCGCAGAGGGTATGACGTCACTGGTGCGGACGGCTTCTGTACATGGCTTCCGTGGGAGGCTTCATTGATTTCCTTAGCATTGCTCTGGTGTTGATGGCGCTTTTGACATTGCGCCGGTGCCTCTCCGGCGCCCCTGGCGTTTCTCACGTCCCCCTGCTGTCAGCGACAGCGCCATGGATAGTGGAGAAGCATACATTCCGCTGCATGTTAATGCTAGAGGTAGACGTTCACGTCCTCCCTTTACCTGTTAATGCTGGAGACCGACGGCACGTTCTCCTGGTTGCAAACGTTCTCGGCCAGCAGCCGGTCGCGGATCTCCCAGGCGAACATGGTCGGGTTCTCCCGCTTGTACTTGGCGATGGCGTCCACCACGTGCGGCGTGGCCACCTTGGGCTTGCTGCCACCGATGACCCCCGCCTTGAAGCTGCCCGTCTCGAAGTACCTGCCGGGGCGGACGTCGGGGTCAGGGGTCAGGCTGCAGCCCGCCGTCGAGCGCTGACTCGAGCCACCGCTCTGAACATCCGCGACGACTCCCTGCCCGCGGCGGCATTGCATCGCTCGGTGTGCTCTCCTTCGCGTTTTGATACTATGGATTAACGTTAGCTCCGAGCTGAGGTCGCTTGCGCTCGAAACGGCACGACGCGGTCAGTGACTTGCAGTCAGTGCAGTATGCGTCACTTACTTGTCACTTTCAACATCCCCTCCCCCTCCCCAGTTTGACGCGAAGCAATATACATGTTGCCAGGAGGTGGCTTTTATCGCCCGCTCGAAGCTGAACAATGATTCATTTTAAGAGGGCTGATCAGACATACACAATTTCTTGCCGTGTGACAACGTGATTCATGATCCGTGATGGAAATATTATTATGAGTCACGCAAGGCAGCATACCTATCGGCCTGTTTTTTAAAAAAATATATGACGACAACCGTCGTTGCTGTTCTTCACGATCCAGTTTCAGGGATCTACAGCCGGTAGTGGCTGCGAGCGGCGGGTGGCGGTGTGAGCGAGCGGCGGGTTGCAGTGTGAGCGAGCGGCGGGTGGCGGTGTGAGCGAGCGACGGGTTGCGGTGTGAGCGAGCGGCGGGTGGCGGTGTGAGCGAGCGGCGGGTTGCGGTGTGAGCGAGCGGCGGGTGGCGGTGTGAGAGAGCGACGGGTTGCGGCGGGTGCGGGCGACTCACCTGGAGAGGATCTTGCTGACGCAGCCGTGGCTGACCCGCAGCTGGCGCGAGATGTCGCAGGCGCGCACGCCGTTGTGAGCCAGTTCGACGATCTTGTGGCGCACCATGTCCGGCAGCGGCCGGCCGTTGACGAACACGCCCCCCAGCTGGTTCACCCCGCCGTGACCTGACGGTGGCAAAGGTCAACGGCGTCAAATCTTCCATGTCAGGACCCGCAGTCTTTTATTTATGTTTTGTAACTTGCAACCGTGCATTTTACCGCGAGGAAACGCCGTGCGACGAATCGTCACCAGTTTTCAGCAACTGAATCCGACGGAGACACCGACATCACGTGGCCTTACACGGCTTTGTTCTAGGTATCAGCTGAACTCGTCTGCGAAAGCCGTCGTGCACTGATGGTGCACGAGGGGTGCACTAATGGTTAGGCCTTCACATCGCGAAGTGTCAGCTGACCAGTAAGCGGGTGTAAGTGCCGCTGGTGAGCTCACTCGGCTAGCTTGTGAGCTCACTGAGCTCACTCAGCGTGAGCACCAGCTCTCGCCCGTGCTCCGAACACCGGGCGGAGCGGGGAGGCGGCACAGCAGATCACTGTATCGCACAGGGAGGGAGAAGGGGGAGGGCGGTGCGGTGTGGGGCGGTGCTCTCTTACCGTCCTCGGTGAGTGCGTGATTGGTGCTCTTGCCACCCCTCTGAGGGGGGCATCTACCTGAAATCAAGACAAAACGTGCACGTTACATTCCGCCGTGATCAAGCCGTGCAGGAGTTTGTGAGCGTCTGCTGTCTTAAATGTTTGAGCTCTGAGCGTCCACATTTGGGGAGTTGTGACACCGTCCACGCACGAGGCATTGCCATGGTACCGAAAATGTGTGCAAATGGTCGAAAGACATACCGACATTGCCAGCATTCAATCAAGCGGGAATTACGTGTAGGATGGGAAGGAGCCACAAGACGTGAAACCTACAAGTGTTTAACATCGCGACGAAATATTTGTTTAATCAAAAAGTAAATGCCCATAAGCAAACATGTTCCTAAAGCCTAAACCTCGGGGTCACATGAGCATGGACCACTATGGAATCCAGGATCTGGTCCTTCCCCACCGTCCATCTTTCGACACCCGCCTTCTCCCTACGGCAACATCGTGCCAGCAGCGCCTCTCGCGGCCGGGGACTGAACCAGCGGCTGCCGGACCAGCCGCTGTTCGCGGCCGCCAGGGGCGCTCAGGAGGCTCGACGCCGCTGCTGCGCCGTCCGGCCCGACGCCACCGGAAGTGGCGGCCGAGGCGACGCGCCGGAAGTGTGGGGCGCGGGCCGGCAGCGGCGCCGCGCTGGCCCCGCCGCCCCCGCCGCTCCGCGCGACCGCAGCGCACGGCTCGGCGGCCACTCTCGGGCCGGGGGTCTTCTAAAGGTCACCACACCAGGTCACTTGTTGGCACCACACCACACGGTCACGCAAACGACGATCAACCATGTAGGGTGACCTGGCTGCAGATCCATGCGCATTTATTGCATTGGTCATTAGCAGTTATATGGCCAACGCTCAGTTTCTGGTAAATCCATCCGCCCTGTGCGAACACGTAACCCTGCGACCGTTGATGGCGTCTCGATGCTCTGGACTGCGCTCTTCAGAACGGCGGTGCCAGGAGAGAACACCCGGCACGTGACGCATGCGCGAGCGGAATGGAAGCATATTGGCGGGAGGTTTTTTGGTCACGCGGCAGCGGCAGCGGCGGCAGCGGCGACGGCGGCTGCGGCGGCTGCACCTTTGGTTGTCGTGATGCAGACCCGTGTTCAGATCCGTGTTCCCGTGTTCAGATCCGTGTTCCCGTGTAATCCGTGTTTAGATACACTCCCGTCTGTCGTGTGTTACGAAACTGGCTTGCCCCACTTTGAATGCACGGTATTCTTGTTCGTGCGTTGCATATGCTGTCATGACGCTCTACGGTGTGAGGTCGAGGCAATGTCCTCACTCCGCCGTTTTCTTTTTTCATTCAACTGTGTTGAGTCAAACTTCAAGCAGCCGACACCAAGGAGAATAAATGCCAGAATCCTAAGTTCATATGTGACAAAAAACTTCTAAATGACGAGCAGTTCGTAAGCATTCAATATTATTATTGAGAGTCAGCCTAAATCTTGTACATTGTGTTGTAATCTTGCCATGGCAGCTTTCAAATTCTCAAGTTTCACCTCCAATTACGATCCTACTTTCCGGATGGCTTTCCAATATTCATGTCTACGATCGCACCTCCTAATCCAGCATAGGTCAGCCCAACAAACGGTAAAACAATTCACAGTTCTACAAACAGTTGAGCTGTAACAAAGTTCACAGCTGTGAGAGAGTTCACAGCAAGAGTCCACAGCTGAACAAATAGGTCGCTGGTCGTCGTGTCATTCGACAGGATTTGTTACGTGCGATCGGTCTGCCTGGCGCGGTACGACGTTCTAAAACCACTAAATACATCACTACTAACGATGAAAAAAAGTGGAGCAATGTGACGTTCCAAAACCGCTAAACACGGCACTACTAATGATGAAAATAGTGGAGCAATGTGACGCTCCAAAACCGCTAAACACGACACTACTCAAATAAAAAAATATCAGATCAGAGTTCAAGGCAACTCATTTTCAACTCCTTTTCGGAGCTTGCAGTTTTGAGCCGCATTTTCACCCCTCAGCGCACCCTGACGACGGTCGTTGAATACTTTACACTGAGATCGGCGACCATGACCTGATGCATTGACGTCTCTAACGAGATCGGTGGCTACTGTCGATGTAATGCTCCCAGCAATAGCATAACCTACTCACACTGTCCATCGTACTGCCCACCAACGAGCCAGCACTGACGCACCATCGATTGCTGCACCGTCCTCACTTGGCAGCGAGGTTGGACGGTATGACGGTTTTCAACGGGCAGAAGGAGCTTTTTGGCCGCTTCAGGCGCTGCATGTTCTTGCCACTGTGGCACGAGACACACGTACGATCCAATGCTGGTTTGCATCTGACATCAGTCTGCATTGTTCGGTTTTTCAAAACTGGTTTTCATCAAATTCGCTGTCGCAAATGGGTTTAGCTACCGAGCCGGTCTGCAACACCATGCCTTTCTTTCTGTTTCCATTGGACGGGGGAGCTGTACGGTTTTTTGCAGTTTCCGTGTGAGAGGATGTTCGGCGAGAGGCTGTATTGGCGTGGACCGGTGGTCCCATCACAAGAAAAGAGAGACATCAAGACTCACCAAGTGATAGCAGGCGTGGGACTGGGGGGAGGGGGAGGGGGCGCTGCGGAGAAGACGGGCGTCCCGCTCGCCACCACCATTTGAAGGGGCCCCGTTACCTCCGGCCGCCCAGCACGTTCGAGCCCAGGCACCACGCGCGGAATGACCAGCGGAGAACGGTCGCCCGTCACGAGGACTTTTAAGTGATACTTGAGCTCCCAGCTGACGTGGAAGGGTGAGCAGCCGTGTTTAGGGGAGGGGCACCCATAACTTCACCGGGAGATGGCGCTCCCATCAGCGCTCGGGTTATCGCTGGGGTCTGGGGAGCCCTGCACTGTAGTACAAAGATAAGCGCGATATGCGCTGTGACAATCCTCTTAAATGGCGTTCATTGTGCTTTAAACGACGGTTGTTCGCTGCGCGGGCCGAGCCGGAGCTTTTCGCAGGGTGCGTTAAAAACACCGACGTCGCTGAATCCGCAGAACCGCAAACACGCCAGTGTCGGCGGAAACATTCCGGCTAGCCCGCGGCCGCCGGAAACCAGAGACTGCTGTCTTTCCCACCAATTACCACCACTTCCGACCGGCTGCAGCGTACGCTGACGTCATACAATGACGTCACGTCAAAGGCACCGCTCCCCTAGTCCTGGTCGGGACAGCAATTTTGTGCAACATTGCTATTCATCTCTCTGCTTTGATTTAAATCTGGATTGTTACATCCTACCATTTAAATGAAATCGTAATGACAAGCATGGCGCATTTGAAAAGAGGAGTGAGGGGTGACGTCATCACATGACTCAGGCGACATGCCCAGTCTTCCATGCCCGAAGCAAGTGAACATGCTCTAGGGGAGCCCAAGCCGCTGTTTTGGCTGGCCTGGCTTCTGCTGTGGTCAGCTCAGCTTCGACGGCGAGGCCGCGGTGCTCGTGGTTACGCCGCTCATGCTGGTCGCCATGGAAACCAAACCAAACTCTGCACGCCTCGACCAACGCCGTGGGATGCGAGGACTAATAAGCCCTAGGGAGGATCAGCGGATTGAGAAACTCAGACAATCAGAGGAAAAAACAAAAAAAAAATAAGATAAAGATTAACCTAATATCATACAACGCTTGCGCGTACAGCCTGTATTCGACCCGTGCGCGCGTGCACCTGCGTCTGCGTCTGCGTCTGCGTCTGCGTCTGCATCTATAAGAGACGGACCGGCCGCGGCCCCTGCTCAGGCGTGCTGGGATCAGATCGGAGCTGGGCATGCCAGCTGAGCCGATGAATGCGGAGGGGGGGGCCGTGGGGGCGAGGGCGTCAGCCGGGATCCCGGGCGGGCGGGCGAGCGCGGTCCGCTCCCCATCATTCAACCACCAGCGCGGTCCGCTCCCCATCATTCAACCACCAGCGAGGCGACACTGCCGTGAACATGGCCAAGAAGAAAACAGTGTCGGAGCCGGGCCCTGATGTCTCAAGAGCGCAACACCAGCCAGTGTGGTGGGGAGGGGGAGAGCAGACTGACCGTCGGGCGGCGAGAGCGGCGCCGGCCGACGACCGCTGCGAGCGAGAGGGATGGACAGACCGGCCCGCGGCGACCGATGACCGTTGGGCATCCGACGGTGGGACGGCTCTCGACTGCACTGCAGACGGTCAGCATGTGCGACCACATCACACCCTTCACGCTGGTGGCCGCGGGGGGAGGGCGATGGCGCGTTGCCGTTTGACCGAGTGACGTCATCATGTGACGTCAGTGGGACCGTCATCTGCGGGCCGCTTGCGCGCCGACAAAAACTGAGCCCATTGCGAGGCAGGCTGCACATCCGACAGCCGGCTTCCGGCGCCGCCGAGCCGTCGCGTGACTGGTCCACACGACGAGCGGCCGGCACGTGGCCAGGGGCGGCGCCAGGAGCGCGGCAGGGACGGCACGCAGCAGCTATCACCCACACAGAGAGTCGACCGTATTGCGGCGCCGGTACCGTGGCTCTGCGCGACAAAGCCATGCGCGTCAGTGTACCATCACGTATCAGACAGATGTTGCTGACATCGCCTCTGCGCTCCCCAGCTCGCTGGTCAGCTCTGTGCGGGGTCTCTGTGGGAGGGATCTGTGCAATGGCTCTGTGCGAGAGCTTTGTGTGAGGGTTCTGGGCGAGATGTGGATTGGATTGCGAGCAGCCGGGACGCAGAGGAGGAAAATTTTGACTTTCGGTGGATGGCTTGCCAAGAAGAGGCATATAGACCTGGAGCAACAAACTTTTGGAGACGAGGGAGAGAAACACGATGATCAATGAAAACCGTTCATATCAATGAATTGTATAATTGTGATAACTCGGGATAACTCAAACCAAAACGGTTCTGTAAAACATCGCTAAATGGCAAAGGGGTGCTGTTGTTCATGACGGTGCTCAAGATTAAGTAGCATAGAAATTTCGGTCATAACTGATCTCGCGCCTCCAGTCTTTTTCATGGCGCAATAGCACGGGACGCAAGACCGGCGGCCCCAGTGTAGCCGACACCAGCG